GTGTGTGTACAATGTGAGCGTGTATGTGTGTGCGTGTGAGCATGTGTGAGCGTGTGTGTGAGCATGTGTGAGCATGTGTGTGTGTACAATGTGTGTGTGTGTGTGTGTGTGTGTGTGTGTGTGTGTGTGTGTGTGTGTGTTGCTAAGGTTGTCCTCAGGAGAACTCCTTGTCTTTTTTTTCTTTTGTTTTCTCCATTTGAAGGCGGAGAAGAGAAGGTTGAAGAGAAAATCTTCTAGTCCTTCTCATGCTTACCATAAAGATAATGCGGGAAGGAGGAAACAGCCGCGTCCTTTAGACTTCATGACAGGACCCTGGAGTCGGTCACAGCCCTGCTCCAGGGGGATCTGACACTTGTCACAGCTCTTTTCCCACAGTGGGAATAACTGGGGCTCAGAGAGGCTAAAATATTGTCCAGAGTCACACAGCCAGTGAGCCCTGAAATGAATCCTCCTGACTACACCAACATTGTCCTGTGCTGAGCGGTTACCGGTCTAAAGTGGGTACCTGGCCACCGTGGGCCGTGGAGCCACATCCTGTGGGTTGTATCTGTTCAGAGTCTTGGGCTTGTCTATGACCTTAAACCTTTAAAACTAAAGTAAAACAAGTTTAGAGAGGATGTGGAGGAGGTGGTGGGATGTGAAATGCTGCAGCCGCTGTGGAGATCGGTCCAGCGGCCCCTCAGATAGTTATCTGCAGAGTTACCGCATGACCAGTGGGCCCACTGCATAGGCCGTCCTCGAGAGGTTTCTCTGGTGTCCCAGCAGGGACCGTAGGTCACAGCCGAAAGGTAGAAGAACAGCTCGGACTTCCAGCACCAGATAAACAGAACGTGGTCTGTGCAGACCGTGGAGCGTTTAGCCATAAAAAGGAATGAAGCGTTAACCCACCACGTAGGGATGAAGCTTTGAAAGGCTTTGCTAAGTGAAAGAAGGCAGCCGCACGCGGTCAGTACCGTGTGACGCCACCCACCGTCAGCCCCCAGACCAGAGATGGGAAGGAGAATGGTGGTTAGCAGGGGTCGGTCGGTGTGGAGGGAGGCTGGGAACTGTTGCTCAGTGGGATGATGAAATGTTCTGGCACAGGCAGCCGTGGCGGCACAACTCTGTGAGGCTTGCCCTGAAGGCCGGTGGACTGTAAACTTGACGAGATGGTGCAAGAGAGGAGGGAAGCAGATAGGAAGCTGAAGCTGGTGGGCTCGGCACGGATATTCTTAGAGCCTCCGCTGCTTGTAGGGCTAGATGGCGCCTGCCTCACTGTGTCTGTGGAGGCATGGGGACAGTGTTCACGTCTGTGGCCTGCCTGAGACCTCCTGCGCAGCGGGGGGCCCGGGTTCTTCTGCAAGGGCAGTCCTGGCAGTTAACAGCCTCATGCACGTGTGAACAACATCTGTCTCTGTGCAGCGCTTCTGCACCTGACATTGGGCATGTCCTTTTATGGCTCTCCTTTGCTCTCTGCAAGTGGAAAGATAAATACCTTTTCAAAGAGCAGATGCCAGCTGCCCACGGTCCCTGCCTGGGTCCCCAGCTGCAGAGTGGGTGGGAGACAGCACTGCTGGGGGCACAGGATGCTGGCTAGGACACTGGATGTGGGGGATGTAGACAGCTTGAGGAGACTTGCTGCAGACCTTCTGGGGGACCTTGAGTGGGTCTGTGTCTCGTCAGAACCCTTGTGTTCTCTCCTGCCTCTGGCTGGCCGAGGCTCCAAGGAGCAGGTGTGAGAGTACTCAGCTGCACCTAGCCAGGCCACCAATCCTTCTGTGAGTGATCACAGTCGGCCGAGTCTTCTTTTCTCATCAGGACCTCAAGTACAGGGGAGACAAGACTAGCCGCAGGGAGAGGACTATTGGTCATGGCAGGGAGAGGGGTCACCACTCTCTGTAGAACCAGACTCTGTCCCTTAGAGCCCCTAAAGGGCAGACTACAGAGGGTCATCTCTCTTGGGTCTTTTTGTTAGCATCTCAGAATATCATAACTAAGTACTAAGAACTGGGTGACTTCCAGCACCCAGAATCTGTTCCACACAGTCCGAATGCTGGTTGAGCTGTGCCCTTCTTGAAGCTGCGGGGAGAATCTGCCCCAGGCCTCCTCGCTGCTGCTGCTGATGGCTGCTGGCCCTTGCAGGCTCGGGGCTACACTGTGTCTTGTCATCACATGGAGTGTTTCCTTCATGTCATTCTTCTTTCATCATTTTAAACTTTATTTATTTATGGTCCATACATGTGTGCATATGCCTGCATCCTCCATGGCACGCAAGTGGAGGTCAGATAACAATTTATGGGGCTCATGGGGGCTGCTTCTTCTTGTCCTGGGGATCAAGCCCAGGTCATCGATTTTGGTGCAAGTCCCCTTCCTGCTAAGCCATCTTGCCAGCAAAAGCTAGTTTCCTTTTTTACTTTTTGGCAGTGCTGGGGTGGGACCTAGGACTCATGCATGCTAGGCATTGTTCTACAAGCAGGGTAAGACCAAGCCCTGGGGCTATTTTCTTACGAGGACTAAATCCAGGCACGCTTGGTTAGGACCCCCCCTGCTTCACTGTGGCCCTGCCTTAGCTAATTACATCTTCAGAGACCCTGTGTCCAAAGCAGTGCTTCTGAGAAGGCCATGGACTTGGGGTGCCACTGCTCAACCCTGTAGTTGTTAGATGAATGGCCAGGTGAGCGTGCACAGACATCCTTGCACAGCTGTTCATGTGTGCCTAAGCAGGGCCGTCTCTCCTGACCCAGGTGTAAGGTGGGGTGGTTCCAAGATCTCCCCTTCTCTCCCCTCCTCCCCCTCTGCTCCGAGCCTAGCATAACGACCACCTTCAGACTCAGCCCCTTTTCTAAGTAGGAGCCCTGGTACTTATCTCAGGGTTCATGACTTGTGGGGTGTTCTTTTCCTTTCTGCTCATGACCCCCGAGTCTTACTGGTTTCTTTTTCCTTCCCCTTGGAGCAGAGAGGGAGATCGAAATGGCTCTGGGCAGCTCAGCTCCCTCTTGGAACCTCAGCATCAGCCTGCAGATGGAGTCTGCTGCCCACCATCTCCTTCTGTTTGTAATGATCTCCAGTTTTCCAGCTGAGAAAATCATAGACAAGAAGTATGCCTTGGGGCCTGTGAGCCTGGACTCCAGTCCAGAGGCCGTCATTCTTGCCTCTTTGCCCAATTCTCGGTGCCACCTCCTGCAAGAAACCCTCTGTCATAGCTTGATGTGTGTTTAGGGTCCGCACTGTGCCCTGTGTATGGTACATTGCCTCACAAGGGCTGGCTGGCTGACCCCCTGGGGTGCAGGCGTGTGCACGCTTGTGTGCCTGCTGTGGTTCCCCTGCCCTGCTTTCCGCTCGCCCCTGACACAGGCAGGAGCTCTGCCTTTCTTCCTGTCTCTCCATGTTTCCCGAGTAGAGTGTCCAGCCCAGGACTGGTTACAGCCTCATACACGTAAAAGATGATTAAATACTAGGTGACCTATGAAAAACAAGGGGAGGCGGGTACCAAAACCACAAAGGTGATTTGGGTAAGGCATTTGATGAAGTTGATGTTTTTTATTCTGAAAGACAAACCGAGGGGCAGGTGAAGCCTTCTAAGTGATAACATCACCCGTCAGTGCTCACTCAACCTTAAGAACTAGCCAGACGCTCTAGTGCAGATCCCAAAGCAGGCCCAAGGAGCCCGCCGCTCCTGGGCATTGCAGCAAGCCAGGCGGGGTCCCAGGACCAAGTGCAGACAGATGTCTGTGAATGTCCTTTCAAGGCCAACGTCCTTCTCTCTATTATTTCACAGCAGACACTCTTCTCTCTTTAGTCGCTAGTCTAGATTCAAGCCACACAGTGGTCTGGAACAGAGAAGTACACACAACTCTGAGAAAGGCGGTTTTCAAAGTTAATTAAAAATTAATGTCTTGAGTGGATAACCTTGTCTTAGTTTTCTAAAGTAGATGAACTGGAAAACGACCAGCGGTATGGTAGCCAGACAAGATGGCGGCCAGGTGGAAGATAAGTAAATAACTGTCATCACCTTCCAATGTGTCAGCGGAAACCGGTTGGCGAACTTGGTGGGGAAGAGTCCTCTGACACCTGTTTGCTTGGGTGTCAGGAGATGGGGGCCCCATTTTCCAGTTCGTCAGCGCGACACTCAGGCAGTGCAGGGCAGCAGCCTCCCCGGGACCCAGCGTCTCAGGTACGGAGGGGCAGTGATGTGCAGGGTATATTGCAGAGTGCTCCAGAGCTCCCCATGGAGTTGTTCTGATGAGTCTCCCAGAATGTTCCAGAACATATTTGTGCACCATTAAGTCATTACAGAAGCCAGACGTCCATTATCTCAGTCCCGGATGATGAATGCAATTCTGGGAAGGATAAACCATGCTGTATCCCAGAGTGGGTCTCAGAATGCCCCACTGGCTTTGAGGTCCCTGCCTTGGCATCCCAATGTCACTCTGTAGACGCAAAGTTGTAGTGCATCTCCAGGAGAGCCAGGTGAGAGGAGCAGGTAAATTACTACCTCCTGCCAGAAAGCAGAGCTCAGCTACTGCCCCGGCCGGCATCATCTGCACGAGAGCACCTTGCCAGGCGGGCCATCACATTTCTTCACTATTTTCCTTATCTTTCTCAAAAGCATTTCTTGCCTGTCTTTTAATGTGTAGGGACCCCTGGAGGTAGTTCAGTCGATGGCTGAATCAGGTGACTGAAGGAAGCTATGAGATGATAGATAATGTTCCCTCGTCACAGGCTAGGCTGTTCTCTGAGCACAGATGAGTGATGAGTGTGTGTGCCCTTGGGACCCCATGCTTCCTTTCTCAATGGCCTTGCCTCCTCCCCAGTTCCTTTCTTTGGTTTTATGATTTCTCACTTCTACTTTATTTCATGAGAGGAGGCTCGTTGCCGCCCCAGGGGACTAGTGTGATTGCCTTAAGACTGAGGTCTTGTGTCATAGCTTTTCTCCAAATCCTCATGGTGACTGGCTAGGCCTAGGAGAGGCAGCTGCCATCCTGCTTGGCCAGCCTGTGAGCAGGACAGAGTTGGAGGTGACCATGCAGGAGTTCTCTAACTAGGCATTCAGTCATCCCCGGAGAGTCCAGAATTGAGTCAGCTCATGGGGCAGTTTGGTGGTTGTCTTAGTTGATCATTGAATGAGGTTCTCAGAATTAGTTCACAGTTGTTCCAAAAACGTATTTTAAAGTTTTTTGAACCACTCATTATTTTCTGTGCATGTTGCCCCCGCCTCATTTCCTCACCTTCCCTGCCTTCCTCCTCTCTTCCTCCTCCCAGATGGGAGGTGGGGGTTGAGACAGGGTTTCCTGTAGCTCAGGCTAGCCTTAAACTTGTTATGTAGCCTAGCCTGGTCTTCAGCTCTTGATCTTCCTGCCTCCACCTCCCAACTGGGATTGCATGTGTGTGCCACCACAGCCAGATTTGTTCTGTTTCAGAACAATCTTCAGGCCCTGTAAAGGTTGATTCACTGCATCTTAGGTGGTATGCATCACCTTTAATATCCTGAATCTTATTCCTGCCTCAGAACCGCCCAGTTTTGTAACCTTCTCTAACCGACTCAGGACTTAGAGAGTTTTCTACTTGGCACACGCCTTTAATCCCAGCACTCGGGAGGCAGAGCCAGGCGGATCTCTGTGAGTTTGAGGCCAGCCTGGGCTACAGAGTGAGTTCCAGGAAAGGCGCAAAACTACACAGAGAAACCCTGTCTCAAAAAAAAAAAAAAAGAGTTTTCTACTATCTGAAGAACACAATTTCTCCAATGTTTCTCTTTGCTATTCATTAATCATTTACTCCCTGATTCATTTTCAAAAAACATATGGCAAAACATTGAAAAAATGGTGCATGGCACATGACTAAAGATAAATTTGATTATGTCTGTGATTTATGGAACGAAAACATACTCTATAGAAACAATAAAATAGTCAGGAAGGCCTGATGTGTTTTTTTTTTTTTCTAAAATTCCTTGGATAAACAATGTGTTTTATGCTTGAAAGCAACTTGAGAAGGGTCTGCATGCAAATGCCAGACTTCCTGCTACTCTTGTCTTCAAATGTCTTAGTTTTCCTCTCCAGGGACAATGATAGCTGTGTGTGTGTTTGTGTGTGTGTGTGTGTGTGTGTGTGTGTGTGTGTGTGTGTGTGTGTGTGTAGCCGTGTATATGGTTTTTTGGTGTATGTTTATGTGTTTATGTCTGTTTATGTGTGTGTCTATGTTTATGAGTGTGTGTATGTGTGTGTGTGCTGGTGTGTGTATATATGTATGTGTGTTTGTGAGTACTTATCGTGTGTGTATGTGTATGTATGAATACTTATATGGGTATATCTGTTTGTATGTTTGACTGTGTTTACACGTTGCATGTGTGTATGCATGTCTGTATGTTTATGTGTGAATATGGATGTGTGTTCTTTCCAAGACATTCTCGGCATATATCAATATCTATTGTTTTGAAGAACAGAAACAGCTGCCCACTGCTCCTCATTGCGTTTTGAACTTACTGCAGTGTAAGGTGCCGAGGGAACTCCTCTTGGTAGATTTAGCATTGCCAGATTCCTCAAATGACCGGCTTTGTGTTCTGCAGATGGGCCCTGCTGGGGATGGGTGCTGGTGGAGTGCAGGGTGGTGCCAGAAGGTGGGAAGCAAGGGTCCTGCCCTGGGGTGCTGCCTCTCACCCTGTCAGCTGTGGGACGCCGTTCCCGAGGCTGCATGGCCGAATCAGTGGGGTGTTTGCCTTCTGCTGGGGACCACTGTGGCTGGATTGCTCCCACAGAAGCAGCGTAAATCTGCAACGCAGCATACGGCATGTGAATGTGAGGGGCTGGTTTGTCACCTCAAAACCCCAGGCGAGGGAAATGAAAACCTGGGACAAGTCTTGGCTGAAAGGCTTGTCCACCTCAGAAGGCAGGCTGCAGCCAGCAGGCAAAAACTGCCCTGCCCGTTAGGCCCCTGTGCACAACAGAGAAGACCTTTGATGCTCAGGAGGCTTGTCTTCAGACCAGCCTGGAAGCGTCCTTCCTAACAGGAGGAGGGAAGGGCTTCCTTGGCCTTGCCTCTCTTCTGTCAGTTTGTCCGTCACAGGGTATCTAAGGAACATACCTGAAGCTCTCTGGGTCCCCAGTGGTCTGGCCTGATAAAGGTTTTCTTTCAGGAAAACATGTTTGGGGGAGCCCATATGTGCCCAGGAGGCCTTCAATAAGCTTGGCCTGCGCAGACCTGTGAAGCATGGTGAAAGGCTACAGTCCACAGAAGGGGTTGGGGCCCGGGGTGGGTGGTTTGCGAGGTTTACTGAGGACAGAGTCCGGGTTGGAGGACGCAGACGCTCCCGAGCGGAGGCTGGTGGCAGTGACGTTGCACAACACGACAGATAAACTTAGTGTCACTGCGCTGTGTGCTCGCACGTGGCCAGTGAGTGAACGTCCATCTGTGTAAACCGCACGCGAGGGCCGTCGCTCCCCAGCTTTCCTCTTCGCCCGAAGGACAGGAAGAAATAGAAAAGGCGAATCTAAGGAGGAGGCCCAGAGAGCCGTCTCAGCTTGGCCCACCTTGATCAGCGAGAGCTTGGCCAGCCCTGGAGCTCACTTACTCCCTGGGGTCTGGTTTGGGAGCTTAGAGAAGTCAGTGATGCCAGGGCCAAGGAAGGAGCCCCAGAAAGAGGGTAGTTGGGCCAGTTGGCCCTCGGTGGCTTGAAGTCCTGTGCCCTAACAGGGAAGTAAGCTGCCCAATTCTACAGTGTCTGCAGGTGTGGCTCCAGTGTGACTCAGTGAAGCTCCTAGTGACCTGGGTCTAGTCCTCCTCATGATTTTCCTGTTTGACAAGGAGCTCGGATAACATTTGTAAAAAGAGCATTTGCCTGGCTCTTCAGGATGGATGCAGCTGGGCAGCGCAGGTGTCTGTTTGGAAGCTCACTGTGGCTTAGAGCAGCTGCTCCTGGGTAGTCCCTTCCGCTGGGCTCAAGGTTCCAAGCTGCGGGAGAAGCTTCTTGGAGATCTGTTGGTCCAGCTCTGCTGGGGTGCCAGGTGTTCGGTCAATGACAGTCCTTATCCACACCGTACTTGTTCTCAGGGGACAGTGCCACCCAGCCTCAGTGCTGTGCCATGGTCAGCCGTTACTCATTCAGGATGGACAGGAATTGTCCCAGATGTGAACAGGACTCTACACCTCTGGCAAGGGCTCTGACTTCGGTCATGGTCCTCTGTCCATAGGAGAGGTTTTTGGACCCCACCCACTGCAAAGAGAAAAGCATGGGGAAGACCAATGACCTTCCCTGGGGTGTTTGGACACAGAGAGACCCCGGCCCGAGTTAGCTCATCCCAGCACCCAGGAAGTAGTTAGAACAATATGGTCATTTTATAGCCCAAACAGATCCCAGGAAGCTGGTACCACCCAAACCTGTACAGCCCACCCCTGGGGTGGGAGGGTGGTCAGAGCTGTCATACCACAGTATGATTATTTTCTGGTCTCACAACACTCCTGTCAGGAATGTTTGTTTCTTTATTTTTGAGACAGGATCTTGTTCTATCCCAGGCGAGCCTGAAACTTGAGGTCTTCTTGCCTCAGCCTCTGGAGTGCTGGGAATACAAGCATGAGCCACCGTGCCTGCGGCTTATTTTATGGTATTCTATGGAGACCATTATTATTGTGGATGTTCTGAAATGAGTAAGCTTTCCGTGTTTCGACAATGACTTGAAGACTCTGCCCACCGTTTCCTGGCTGCCCTGAAGGACAGAACCAGCTCTAGAGAAGACCTCTCCCTTCAAACAGCGATTTCCTTCAGCCTCTTTGTTTGGTTCTGTTTGAGACAGTGCCTCACTACGTAGCTTAGGTGGCTGTGGGAACTCACTGTGCAGCCCTGGCTGGCCTTGACTCTGTCCTGTCTCAGCCTCCCAAATGCTGGGACTGCGGTGGGATACCATCCCATCCAGCTTCGTGGGGGTCACTTGAGGCTGTAGGTAGACGACCACGTTCTGCTTTGGGCTCCGATGTGAAGAAGCACAGCCAGGCCTTCCCTGCTAGTACAGCCCAGGGAAGCCCAAGCCAGTGACTGAAGTAACCCCCGGCTGGCCGTGTGGGGCATGGACAGGCAGCTCCCCTTGACTCACCAGCTGTCATGGAGATAACATGACTTGCCACATTCCCGGGGCAATGTGATCAGCGCTGACAGCCTCCTCACGTGGGTGGCAAGCGTGTGCTTCTCATTAAGAAAATTGCTACTTTAGAACAGGCTCGGAAAAGAACTTTTTTGCCTTTACTAAAATTAAGAAAATAATAATAAAACAGCCCACCCAACACCCTAAACTTAAAAAGAAAGAAGAAAAGAAAGAAAAAAAAAACTTGACGTCAACCCAGAAAAACAAAAAAAAAATCTCTCCAGGTCCAGTATGGAGTTAGAACTCGGCAGAGACACGGACAGAGCGAAGAAGAAAGTCTCACTGGGCGAGGCTGACGCCACCACCCTCCACTGGCTGCAGCTGTACAGCCTGAGCCGTGTTGGAGCGACAGAAACTGCTTTCAGATAGACAACTGAACTGATTTGCCTGAGACTCCCCAGCTGTACCCCGCCGTCATTTGTGGCTGGCCACATGAGGCCTGCTTCGGAACCCTTGACTACCGAAGAGGCCCCCAGATGGAACTCTACTGTCAGGAATGCGGAGCTCAGTCACGTCAGGGGTGGGAGCCACCTTCCTGGGGCCCTGCTCCCAAGCCACAGGTGACTGAGGCTGCCTGTGTGCGTGAGCCACAGAGACATAAATAGGAGATGGCCTCTCTGGTTCTCAGTGGGAGAGAGAGCGGTGGGCGGCCATTTCAGTCTCTATGGTCCGGCCTCCAGCACAGTGTTCATGGAAGGGCCATGTGTCTGACAATACTTTACGCATCCAGTAGCCAGATGGTCCAAACAACCCATCAGTGGTGTGGTATGTAAATATTTCCCATCATTACCACAGTGCCGCTGTGTTGACACTAGCGAGGATGAAGAATAACGTTGAGGAGCTCCTGGCAGCCAGGCAGACCCCAGCCTGCAGAGCCACCCCTGACACCCTGCAGGCGTCAGGCTCTTCCTCCCCAGGTCCTCAGGCCCCAAGAGGCACCCTGTCCCCTCAGCTCTTCACCAGCACAAGGTTCCAGCTTGCGGGAACTCCGTGGCCCAGCTCTTTCTTCTTCGTTTTTGTGTTTACCAAGAAGCACAGAGCTTTCCCCTTCATCCACTGATTACAGATTGCCCTCAACTAGGATTCTTGGTGTAGATGTTTGTTTCTGTCTCATGTAGTAAACATAGGCTATACGGGTTTTGGAACCAGGTGGTAGTGAATATCATGGATCAGGCTCCTATCATGTGCTTATAGTATGATTACCACATGTCCAGTTGTTCTGTGTCGGATCTCCCTGCATTATCAACATAGATATTATCAACAGTCAACCTCCTAGGCTTATTTGCTTTTCAGAGTAAAGGTTCATGTGTGTGTGTGTGGGGGGGGGGGGCTCACTGTGTAGCTTATACTGTTTTCAAATTTACCATTCCCTTGCTTCACCCTCTCAGCTAGCATTACAGGCCTCCGTCCCCACGCCCAGCTTTATCATTGAATTGGATGCTGGTGTTCATGCAACGAATTAGGGGCCTGTGGTTCTCTCACATTGTCTTGCCATCCCTGGGGCTCCATTGGTGTCCTCTGGAGCTGTCTGTCAGTCGGCTGGCTGGTTAGTTGGAGCTGGAAAAGGGGACTGTGCAGTACTGTGCACGCTCGAATCCCGAGGTCTCACCCGGAGTCTGCTCAGGGCTTGGTCCTGCATCCACACTCCCTTCCGTTAGACCTGTGGACTGGGCGATGTTGGGGCTGTGTGGGGATGCTTTTTAGAGAGCATTTAGGTCACATTCACACCGAGAAGAAGATGAAACGGAGTCTCAGACAGTGGAGCTGGCTGACACAGACTCTTCAGCTGCCACCCTGGTCTCAGCCCCACACTGTGACCACCTGTTCTAGGTAGGAAGTCCCGCCAGTGTTACTCTCCAGCTGTGTTCAGGTCCCAGCTCTGGACCGTGCAATACATGACAAGGAAGAGCTGGAGCTAGCGGATGGCGTGGCTGCTCCAGGGAGTCATGAGAGAAGCGCTCAGCTTCAGCGCAGCTGCGGGACCTCAGCACCCACCCCGCTGGGGTGCCGAGAGTGGAGAGTCATTCTCTTCCCAAGCCTCACTGAGACACTGGCTCCTCTTAGTGACTCGTGTTTGAAGAGGACGAGAGGCCCTCCCTAGTCTCCTGTTAGGAGCGGCAGTTTCTGCAAACCCCTCAGCTACACCACAGTTGTCTGTCGCTGCCTGAGAGTGGCCCCAGACTCTCACGGGTTAGCCTCTCACGGGTTTGCTTCTGAGGTGGCGATTTGGGCTGGACCTGGCGACAGCAACACCTCTGCTCACAGCCTCAGCTACAACAGCTTGACTTGGGCTGGAGGCCCCACTTCCAAGCCAGCCCAGCGCCTGTGACGGAGACCATGTTAATGCTTGCCAGCTCCAGCAGGGCTCCCTGCATGTGTCCACTTACCATGCCTGGGCCAGGCTGCTCCCAGCCGGGTGATCTCCGGGGAGCTGGTTTCCCCAGAGCACAGACTCTGGGCTGCCTCTTCTAGGCCCTCCTTCTTTTCTTACTTTTTCCACTGTGGGAGTATATACACAAAACACGCATTTGAGCATTTAACTGTTCTAAAATGTAGAGCTGGTGCACACCTTTAATCCCAAAACTCAGGAGGCAGAGGCAGGCAGATCTCTGAGTTTGAGCCTAGCCTGGCCTACGGAGTGAGGTCCAGAGCAGCTAGGGCTGTTACACAGAGAAACCCTATTTCAAAAAACCCGAACGAAACAACAACAACTGTTCTGAAGTGTGCCAGAGAGTGGCATTCAAGTATATCGTTATTGCTGGGCACCCCTTCATCCGTGGAACAGTCTCATGTGAAACTGAAACCCAGTGATCCCATCTGTCTGTCTGTCTGTCTGTCTGTCTCCTCCTTTTAGCCTCTAGACCCCCTTCTGCTCTCCCTCTCTCAGTCTGACCACCCTAGCTGTCTCCTACAATGGATGATGTTTATTTTCCTGTGGCCAGCTTAGTTCACTTGGCAGAATGTTTACAGGGATTGTGGACTGTGTCTGAGTCCCCTCCTTTTCTACAGCGATGTGCCCTGTCCTGATGACCACATTGTGCTTACCTGGACCTCCCTCCTTGGGTCCTGGGGCTCCTCCCACCTTCTGGCTGTTGGACAGAGTGCTGCCGTGAATCTAGGTAGACACACACACTTGTTTGCATACCTGCCTTCAGTTTTCAGCCAGGCTGCCCAAGATGGAGGTTCAAACCTGGCGCAGCGTCACTTCCAACCTACTCTGTTGGTTACACCAGGTCAAAGGACCCTTCAAAGGAAGGGGACACCACACGGCCCTGGCTTCTTGAAAGCCATTAAAGTTGCAGTCTGCCATTACTGCGCTGGGAAAGGTCTTTGCGGACCTATTCCAGAGTGGGCCCCACTGGCTGATGCCTCTGGAGCACAGATTCCCCTAGGCAGGCTCTCGGAGACAGGGTCCTGGTGGATCAGGTCAGGCCAGCCCGGTGGTTCCTCTTGGAGAAGGCCTCAGTCTCCCACTGGCACCGTTTCGTGTTGCTGAAGGCTGTGCCTCCTCTCATTACATAATCTGTTATTCTGTGCTGCACAGGCCCTGGTTACTTGTCAGAAGTTTCTAAAAGCCAGCTGAATCAGCTCCAGGCAACTGGGGGTGCTGCCTCTCTCCCTCATAGTATTAGTCACTCTGTACTTAGCTAAATTTAACTTTTTATCATCCAAATGATATTTTTGTGGGCTTGGGATTTTACATAATGCTACCAACTGCTGCAGGCTAAGAATTTCTCTTTTTCTGCTGTGTGTGTGTGTGTGTGTGTGTGTGTGTGTGTGTGTGTGTGTGTGTACACTGGGTTTTTCCCCCATGAACTCTTGCACTCTCAAGGAAACACTGCTGGGCCCTGTCTCCTCGGCTCTGCTTTCCTGGCTCCTGGTATCTTGCTTCAGCTCTGCGCTCGCCATCCACCAGCTGGGAGGAGAGAGCTCCTCGTGGCGTCGTCCCAGTGGCCCGACTCATGCACTTGAGGGCTCTCCACTCTGAAAGTCTGGAGAGGCTCCACTGTCTGCAGCACGCTGGGCCTGAGAAAGAGCAGCTCCACTCGGGAGCAGTGTGGTGGGTGAGCACATACAGAAGCCGAAGCTGCCAGAGCCAGGCAGTGAGATGCTCAGCCAACCTGCCCAGACATGGGGTCCCAGAGGCACACTCTTCCTGGTCTCAGGTGGGGACACAGTGAAAGGCCAGGAACTAGTCTTCTGAAGAGCACACTCAGCTCTCAAAAGAGAGCAGTGGCATGGTGGCACCCACCTTTAATCCCGGCACTCAGGAGGTAGAAGCAGAATGATCTCTGTGAGTTCATGGCTAGCCTCATCTACATAATGAGTTCGAACCCAGCCAGAGTTACCTAGTGAGACCCTTATCTCAAGGGTGGGTAAGAAAAGCAGAGCTGGAATGGTATGTGGGGAACTGGGCATACAGCTCAGCCCCCAACTGTCTGAGCCCCATGCCCAGATGTGACTGTGTGGCGGGCCCTCACCTCAGGTCTGGTGTACGCCCATGTGTCTATGAAGTAGTGAAGGCCGCAGTGGTCCGGGCCCAGGACGGGGCTAAGTGGTTGCTCTCAGACTCGCTCTCATAGATGTGCCAAGTCTGTCCTCGTGTCCATTCTCTCTGATAAGAAAAACAAGTCCCAGAGAGTCTAGCGGCTCACTAGGCCTCAGAGTCTGTATGTGGTCGAGCCTGACTGCAGAGCCCATCTGTCTACAGTCCACCCCCAGAGAGCATCGTGGTCCCATTGCTTCTTCCAGGCTGAGTCCCCACATGGGTCTCATACTTAGTCCTGTGGACAGATCATCCCTGGCCTGATTTGGTCACACAGTTCCACCCAGATACTCTGGGTAGAGGAGGGAGGTTCTGGTTGCGGGACCAAGAGAGGAACTCGTTTCACTCAATACCCAAGCTGTCTGTTGAGTTTTGATAGTTGTCAAAATGCAGATGTATTTTTCCCTTGGTGTACATTAAGTGGCTGACATTGACCTGGGGATGTAGCCCAGTGGTGAGCATTTGCCTAGCATGCATGAGGTCCTAGGTCTACTACCCAGGGCAACAACAAGCAAGCAAACTAAATTATATACTTTATTTAAAGACTGAGAAAGATCGGAAACATGTCCCCATAAAAACTCATCCGTAAGCATTCACAGCAGCTTCTTCACAATTGTCAGCACTGTCCAGATGTCAAATGCCAGATGAACAGAAGCAAAAATGCGTTCTTTCCATTCAGCAGAATGTCACTCAGTTATAGGAAGGAATGAAGTAAGCTGGAATATGGTTCAGAGGCAGAGAGCTTGCCTGGCATCTGTAAGACTTCGAGTTCAGTCACGGGCACTGCAAAAAAAAAAAAATTACATTAAAAATTAAGACATTAAAAACAGGAATAGCATGCTGCCACTTACTGTGATCGCTGAAAACACAACCCGAGGAAAAGATGCCAGACGTGAAAGGGCCGCGTACTGTATGACTCCACTGATGCGAAATGTCTAAAATAGGCAAAAATCTACAGAGACAGAAAGCAAATTAGTGGTCCCCAGGGGCTGCGAAGGAAGAGAGAACGAGAAGTGACTGTCATGAGTACTGGGTTTCTTTGAAGAGTGAAAAAAAAAACGTTACAGATTAAGGCGGCGTGGTGGCTGCACACCCCTGTAAATGGACCAATAAGCACTAATGATAATAACTGTGCTTTTAAAGGGTGAGCTTCGTGGCATGGTAGGGTATATGTAAATTTTGAAAAATTGGTGACCTTGATTCTCCATGGCCCTGGACAGTTTGCCTTGGAGCCACCTGCCTCAATCTCCATGTCAACGGGGGTGGAGACAGCGGGGCTGGTGGCTTCAGTCTCACTACCCACCCGTAGTTGTTTCCAGCCGGGGCCAGCTTGAGGCACGCGGACGTCTGGGCAAGGGAGCTACTTGGCGCCCCACCAATCCGGTATGCTTTAAGTGTTTGTTTGACATTTATTTAGTGGGGATGAGGAGAGACTGATATTCTATTAATGGAAACCATGCAGAGAAGCAGATCCGCGTACCAGTTCACTTCCACCAACTGAAGCAGCACCAGGGATCTGAAAACTTTTCAGGAAAGTAATTCCAGCTCTTGCTGCTCTTGTCTCTCAGGCGGGTTTGGTGTGGTTTTCTTTTTCTCTCCCCTGCAATTCTCAACAGCCTTGAGGGGCATTCTGGAGGTTCAGCACAAGGTAGCAAAATATTTTCTTCTTGCTCCTAGGAATAGCAGCACACGCTGTATTATCTGAGCGTAGACCCCAGCTCCTGGGGTCCTGGCTAACGACATGGAGCAGGCTTGCAACCGATTTCAGCAAGGGGGATGCTTCGCTTCTCCCTGTGTGTGTTCCAGGTCGTTGAAGGGAACTTGGGTTGACCAGTGATGCATTTTTGTTTCATTCTAGCAGGGCTCTGTGCACCTGTCTGAGCTCTGAGACCTGCTGCTGATTAACCTGGTGCTGCATGCATCTCAGATCTGTGGTGGGTTTGGTCCGGGCCATAAGTCCCCACAGCTCCCTCTTTGCTTTTTGTTGTTGTTGTTGTTGTTGTCCGGGAGTCTTCTTTCCCCTAGCCTCTGCAGACGTGATTCCGCTGGGTGTGAGTCACCGGTGACCTCTTCACCCATGGGGATGCTGGTCCCGTAGGATGGAGGGGCTTGCCTGACAAAACTGGCTCACCACTAACCAAGGTGTTACCATGGCAAAGCCTCTTCCCTCCTCAGTTTCCCTCACCTCGAACCTGGGAACACGAAATGATGACCTCATAGCTGCTGAGAAGGGTGGCAGAGAAAGCCAGGAATCGGGATGGTACAGATGTGTGGAGCGGGGGGAGCTACAGCACCAGGTGCGGGTAGCGTGAACTGGGCAGCCAGAGCAGCTGCCACTGCCGGGCTGTGGGGAGCCTGGGACGCGGCGCTGGCTCCGGGGTCTGAAGGCCAGCCCCCAGACGTTGCTTGCTCCCTCACCACGGTGTTCCCTGGGGTGTAGGATGGGCAGTGTGGGTGGTGTGTGAAGAGCCGCCGTTCCCTGCAGCCACACCTCCTCCCACTGCTGTGCATCACTAGCTCTCTGCACATCCCCATTCCCTCTCCCTCTCCTCTGGCTTTGCTGGCTGTGCGGCTCACCGGCAGTTGATCACTTTGTCATCCTGGTCCTCCACTGAGCGTCCCTTGGGTTTCACGCTGACCCCTGTCAAGACCGCTCTGACAGGACCAGTGTCTTACTGGCCCCGGTGCCTGACATCGGCCTTTGAACTAGGGCTGTCCTGGACTTGGTCATTGGTCCCTGAAATGAAATGTCTGCAACCTGCTGGGGAACTGGAGGGAAGGTCATTGGAGGGCCTCTGGGATCGCTGCCTTTCGTAGATAGGTACAGGCGCAGGAAGTGGGTCTCCTAAATGTGTGACTGATGAGGACTGGTGCTGAGCTGTGGACCTGGGCATTCTCAGGTTCCTGTGGCAGCCTTGGCCTGAGTGGTGCCTTCACTGGTGCTTGTGGGTAGTCTGTTGTCTGTAAGACCAGTTGGAACCTGGCACTCTCTAAAAATCCAGTTCTCACTTTTTCAGCCCATTCTGTGGGCTTGCTCTGGCCTCTGGGCACTCAGTGGAGATGGGCATCTGTTTCTAATGTGTCTAAGGGTCTTAGAGGCTCACTGGCAAGGCTGGAGGCCGCCTGCATCTTCCAGCCAAGTGTCCAGCCAGGTGTCTCCCGACTCCTTCCTGCTTTGCCTAGTTTTCCAGCTGTCCCTCCCCCACCCCACCCCCCACCCTGTGGCCTGATGTCGTCCAATCCTAACAGGGTCCTGAGTAAAACCCTGAGGCTGGAAGCCAAGAGTTCTGGTCGTCTGTGAGGAGGCAGCCGTGTGCTGACACGTCACTCCCCACCCCCTGTGCACTTGTCCTAGCTGGGCCGTGTGGAGGTAGAGCCATCACTGGTTCAGAGCTAGGCCTTTCCTCCCTGCATGCCTTCGTCAGGATTTGTAAAATGGATACCTCCCTGTCACACACAGCCCTTTGGCTCACTTGCTCCACCAAGGCTTCGGGCCTGAAATTGCTCAGGCCGAGGCTGACTTTGCCACTTTCCCTGTTGATGGGTATAGAGTAATGGGGAGCTCAGGTGGCTCATGTCTTCTGCCTTTGGGTTTCTCCCTGCAGGATGCTGGCACATGCCCTGGTCCCGACTCCCTTCTGTGGACAAACTGATCGCTCCTCCTGTGTGGAGACATCGACAGAGCTGCGCAGATCCACAGGTAAAGACTGACTACCTGCGCAGTGGCCCTGCCTTCCTGCCCAGCCTTTGAAGTTGGAGGGCTATTGGAGCCTTTGCCGGGGTGGGCAGGAGTTTTGACTTGAAGGTGACGTCTTCCTGGCTGGGGACCCCAGGGGCCCTGTGACCTCTTCAAAGAGCCGAGGCTGGGTTGCTTGTTCGCCCTGTTGCCCACAGGCTGCGGCAGTGACCCAGAAACTGGCCTCCGCGTGTTTTCTTAGGCTTTGTGCCTCGGGACCCGCTCTGCTTCTCGTGTGTGCATGTTGTTCCCGTGTCTCCTCCGGCCTGCTGTTTTCCATGGAGGCCTCTATGGATAGAATAGGTGGCAACACGACTTTCCCTTTCCTCCCTAAATTCCCCCGGACTCTCTCTGCTTTCTGGACGCTTCTCAGCTTTCCAATGCGGTGTCTGGGCCTTTGGGTTCTGCCCTGACTTGCCCTTGGTCCCTTCCCTCCGGGGTCCTTCCTCACTAGGAGGCTCCGGGGCACAGGGCTGCCTGGGCTGCCTCTGGCTTCTGCTTGCAGGCTGGCACCCAGAGCTGTTCTTTTCTCTAATTGCTCATTTTCTTCACTTGCCAAGAAAAGGCCTCCAAGTGCTAAGGAGAGAGCTGCTGTGTTATGGTTTTTTGTTGTTGCTTTGTTGTGTTTTACTTCACGTTCCGAGGTGTCTCTGCACAGGAGGGTGTGGAAATAGTGGCATCGGCCGCTCAGCCCCAGCTCACGGCGTCTGTGGTGGTCAGGTCTGCGCCCCGTGGTGGGACATGTGCTCCAGCATTAGTCAAGGGTCCCCAGAGAACCCTCGCCTGCAGGACCTGAATGTTGATGTCACCTCTTGGTGCTCAGAGGGACCCTGCCCCTGCTTTGGCTTGGGGCCTCCACTTCCTGTTTCCTTTCTCACAGGAAGGGGCTCTTTCCTGCGTAGCGGCTGCCATCAGTGAGTTTGCAGAGGTGACGGCCTCCCAGCCCGCCTACCCCAGGTTCGCAGTGACTTCCCTGCATCACTCCCGTATCCTGCCAACATTTATCAAACGCTCGGGAGACATTAGGTGGGGTGTGCGTGTTGTGCCCGCCTGTAAACGCCGAAGAGGGGGTACTATTGGGGGGCGGGGCGTGCAGGGGTGCAGCGTGAACAAAGCAGACAGAGGCCCCCGTGTGAGCAGTTTGCATCCTGGTGCATTCTGTGTGTGCCCGTGTCCTGAAGTCCCCTCCCCTCCCCCACTCTGTTCGCCAGCCTTCTCTCTTCCCTCCCGAGTCCCTCCGTGTAAGCCCCCAACCGTACTAACCCACCCATCCTTCCTTCCTTTTCATCCTGTCCCGGCTCACTGCCGCCCCTCTGATAAGGTTATGGTCACCGTGAGCCCTGAGGCCTGTGGGTGCCTGTGTGCTGTCAGTCTGAGGGCCCTTTAGTGGGTGAGACTTTGTACCTCTCTTACCGCCTCGGCTCGTCCTGCCAACAACAGGCCCGAATGGCACAATCGTGTTTGCTCGCTGTGGGCCTCTGAGCTGCCCTGGAAGTGCGTAGTAACATGATGGGCACAGAGCTCCGAGCAGAAGGCAAGTAGTCTCTGAGTGGAGAGCAGCGCTGTCAGGGCTGACTGAGAACAGGAATGCTCCCCTGCCCTCCTCTGCCAGGGCGAGGAAGGAAAGGAAGGGCCCAACAGTTTATTTTTAGAGAAGTTTCTTCCTCCAAAGGAACACCAAGCTCCTTCCCTCCAGAAGGGTGGTGGGCTAGAGGGCCCGGCAGGAGGCCTTTCCAGGCCGCCTGGCCCAGAGGCAGGGCATCACAGAGAGTCTGCCCCAAAGAGGGTCCCAGCTGGGGAGAGCGTTTACCCTCAGCAAGTTGAACACACTTCATTCTGAGTGACGTAGTAGGGCTCTCGGCCTTGCCTGCACCTGGGTGTCCTTGAGGCTAGAGTACAGCCAGGAGGATCTCCCGGCACCGCACCGGCCTTCTCGGCTTCCTTCCGACTTCCTGGGGTAGGCTCAGGCTGGGAGGGGGACTTCCTGCCATTGTCTACGGGACAGGCCTCTGGAAGGTCACTGTCTCCTCCAGAGGAAGAGGGTCTGGCTAGGGTCTCAGAGCACAGCAGTAATGGACACAGACTCCGGGTGTCTGCCCACCTCCCTTACCGTTTTCTGGACCTGAGCTGAAGCCAGGACCTAGGGGGCTCTGTCACCTGGGCAGCTGAGCCTCTGAGCCAGTGTCTTATCTCTCTTGGTGATCAGCCTTGTCCCCATGTGAAAAAGTTGGCCAGTTTATCCCCTTGGGTCCAGGCCACATCACAGCCCAGACCAGGAGAGGACAAAATGGGAAGAGCCTAACGACATGACATGGGGTGCAGGCAGCACCCTGAGGTCCCTGAGAGGCAAACGCTTGTGCTCAGCTCTCTGCTTCCCCCACAGTGCTGGTGGGAGAGCCGGGTGAGATCGGATGGCCGAGCCAGGCTGCAGCCGGCTCTGCCCTCTGCACCTGCTGTCTTGTCCTGACTGTGTTCTTGTGGTCTGATGGACTGCTTTGACTCACGCCCACCAGTACCCAGGACACGGACTTTGCCACAAACCTCCAAGGACTCACTGTCTGCCTGCAGGCCTCCCCTCCCCTGGCATGCAGTCCCCCGAGGACAGTCTTTCCACTCTCCTGGGGTCCTGTCTGCTTAGGCAAGGCACTGCTCCCTGCACGTGCTCCTTATGTCCAGTCAGGCAGCGAGTCCGGCTGGCGTTCTCTCCTGCTCAGAACCACCTGATGAAGCATGCTTTGTGTGAGCCAGCTACTGTTACTGAGGTAATCCAGCTATCAGGAGAAAAGGTTTGGGCTGACTGATGATTTTAGAGGCCCCGGTCCCTGACTGGTTGGTTGTTTCTGTTGCTTTTAGGCCTATGCTAGGTCCTACACCATGGCGCTGCCTGTGGCAAAGCAGAGCTCTTCCCTCAAGGCCAGGAATGAAAGTCAGGAGGAGAGAAATGGGGTGGGGTCTTTTTTCCCCTCTGGAGGCAAGTCCCCAATGTTCTCAGACCTCCCAGTAGACCCCAACTCTCAAACATATCTAACGTCTCCCAATGATAATACGATAGTGCAGTCGTTCAGGATGTTCAACAAACTGCAACGTGAGGCCTGAGGATCCAGCTTAGTGGTAGAGCTTTTGTGCCCACCACTACCAGAGCATTGCCTGGCATGCGTGAGGCCTTGTACTGTCAAGGGGGGGGGGGGAGGGGGGAGGGGAGAGGGGGACTCTGAGAGAGGCTGTCTGGGACTGACTGGGGAATAGTGGAGGAGGGAAGAGGCCAGAGAGTGAAGAGGGCGTGGCCTTATAGGTTGGTGTGAAGGCCTTGACCTTGACTTTGATGTGAAGCCGTGGAAGTGTTTGGACAGTTGAGGACCAGGATCAGTGGCTGCTGCGTTGTGAACAGGCTGGAGGGGAGGGAAGAAGCAGGAAGAGCATGGGGACGCTGCGGTGATGGGAGGCGTGGGTGCTTGGACCTAGGAGTGGCTGTTGAACTCTAGGTCTGTCTTCAAGTAGACCTTGGAAGGACTCTTGGAGGCTTTAATCCACATTTAAAAGAGGGTTCTTGTAGCCTTGGAGGGCCCAGGAGACCTTCTGACCTGACTTTTGATGTAACCTGTGGGGAAACTGAAGCCCAGTAAAGGAAGTTTCATGTCCAAAGTCAAGCTGGTTAGTGACAAGAGTTGGGAGTCTGGAATCTACGTCCAGTCGTTTGCAGCTGAGCTGGGCGGTCCCTTGGAGAAGGCCTGTGCAGCCATATGAGCCACAGGCGACAGGGCCGGCCCCACACTGCTGCAGCTGAGCAGTGGGTCTGTAGTGCCAGCATCACCGTGGGTGGCGTCCTCTGCTACGGACAGGGCCCCAGGCTTTCCACGCGGAAGGTTCTTGGCACTCCGGCCTTGGGCAGCTCTCTCTGGACCCCTGCCCAAGATCCTGACTCTCATTGGATTGCAGTGTCTGTGATCTCTGAGGCCTTGGGCAAAGCCAAGCCAAAGCTCACGGTGCTCTTCATTCAGCTCTTACTGGGCTTCTGCTGAGGGAAGGGCAGAGGCCAGGGAGAGACCTTCCTGCCCCCCAGGAGCTGACGGGTCAGCCAAAGTGTGTGTGGTAGAGGTGGGGCAAAATGTTGACGTGTGAGGCAAGTTCAAGACTGGCCGAGGTCGGGATCATTGATCTAAGGAATGAAACGGCCTCCCTGTCCCCCAGACACACCAGTATGTACTGCCAGAGCTCACGTCTACCATGGTCTCCTCTTCAATCTTTGCCTTCACCTGTTGCCATAAAGGGACACAGGAGGCCAGCTGTGTCACGGAGAGTGGACATTGCTGACAGCCAGGAGGACCTGCTGTACTCCGGACGCCATTACTCTTCTGCGTCTCCTTGCTGTTTCTTTGGAAGGGGCTGTGGTTGCTCACTGTGTTTCTAATGACAGCCTTTACAGTGCTCTCTAGCCGGTGGATAGAAGAGGTCTGTGCTGTGCCCTGGGTCCAGAAAATAGGACCTGGGTATCCTAGATCTGGAGAAGGTAGAGGAGGTCTTGTTTCTATTCTCTTGAGGAGGTGTGAGTCTGTAGGCCAAAGTGGAAGCAGGCCTCCAGTTTGATTTTCCTTCCTTTGTAGTATTTAACTCGGGCTGTTCCGTTCGCCCTGCACAGACAGTCCAGGAGAAGCAGCATGGGGATTGCTGGCCTTGACTGCTTTCCAGACCGCCTCTGGCACCTGCCCTTTGCTCTGGTGAGGAGCCTGGCAGTCACAGGACCTGGCTAAGAACATGGAACCACAGGCAGAGCAACAGGGCCAGGTACCCGGTGGGGAGGGGAGGGGCAGCCAGACTCCAGACATCTGTGTACAGCAAGCTTCTGGAGAGCCACTTGCCGGCACCCCCCGAGGATGGAGGGTGAGGGCAGTAAAGCAACCAGAGACACTTCGTGCCCTGAAAACGTAGCCAAGAGGCTGAGCAGAGTGCCATGGTAACTGCGCTCA